ATTTCCGCAAATCCCTCAGCCATCTACAACTAACTAAAAGGCCGTTAACAGCTGAACGAACCAAAAACTGCGGTACTGTAGTTTGATGACAGTCCCAGAGGACCAATTACCGGATCATGGGGGTGAGCCGGTAGGATGAAACTTTTGACAAACATGAGCGCAGTTCATTGTAGATTTTTTTATGTTGGTTGTCCGGGGTTAGTTGCAGTTTAGCCGAGTCAAATGGCCAGAATATCAGGACTGGACATACTTTGAACCGATTGACTATGTACGTTTGTGCTCGCGCCCCGGCAAACAAACGACGCAGTTATCATCAGTCAGCTGGAAAGTGGTTGGAACCCAGTAATAAGTCTACTAATTGTTTTCCAAAGTTTTCCGAAGATGGCTTGATCTGTGTGTTTGAAGCTGTGTAACTGACGTTAGCGACGGTGTCTGCAATGGCGCATTCGTAAGACAACCTTTATTGAGCTTGCTAGTTCGTGATCTAATGTTGAATCGAACAAAGCGTACAACAGCGTCTAGTGGAGAACAAGGTTAGCGAGATATGCGAACTTCACTGATCGAGAAGTTTGTTGTATATGTTACCTTGTGCACATCTTGTTGCTGCTCTGTTCAGTTGAACGCACGGAAGATGAACTAACGCCGAATACCGTGGAAAAAACCCTTGGGACAGAGAACCGGGATAGAAAATACCTTAAGTATAAAAGATGGTCCAGTAATCGAAGGCCTTGTCGACACTTTTAACTGAGCTAAATGGTAGGGATAAGTGCCATTCCAAGAAAGATCAATAAGACAGACAGTATACTTTCGAAGGCTCTCTAGCAGAGACTCCATTGTCCTGTTTTTGAATCGCTACTACCAAACTGTGACTATCAGTTGGGAATTTCGAAGATCGGATCCTTCTTTTCGGAGGGCAACCCATCGAAGTGGTGACCACTGGGGTTGCAGAAGCCGGAGTTTTCGAGCAAATTGGTTAATCCAAATCGTATTTATGAATGTCCAGTCTTTTCCGGCTGCCTTAAACCATCTGAAGTCAAAGTGCCCTTGCTTTTATCTGATTCTCTCTTGAGCACAGTAACGCTTGCACAGCGTTCGAATGTGTCAATGCTGACAAATTTATCCGACTGCGCTACTCGCTTAACTTCAGTTGACACTGACCCAGCTCTGGACAATTAACACTGCATCCAACTCTTCAAGGTCAGTCGAATAACAAACTGATTTCAACGGAGCTGGACCAGATTTGCAGCTTTAGCCTGACCGATCCGCGTACACACAGGAAGCACCCGACCTCCCTGACTCCACCCCACCTCAACCTGATTTGCACCAATTGTCTGACACGGAATAACATCAGCTTGTGGTGCCCCAGGCACCGCACATGATCCTTCGGCGACGATCGACAGTATTCAACACATCCGGTTCAAAACAATGGCCATTGCCGTAGGTCCATTCATCCTAACCCCGTTTAGTCACAAGCCTCACTTGCCTGGCCTTCTACCTGTCCACCCGCCAGGATGCACGCAGGCTCGCATGCGTGTGCGTGAGTACACACACGCAGGCTCGCATGCGTGTGCGTGAGTACGTGTAAGCACATATACCGGCATTTGGATCTTCACTTACAGATTTAGGATGCTGGTAGTTTCCAGGTTAACGTTACCAACTGTTTGGCATAGTCGACTTCGAATGAGGGCGCACAACACACTCAGGCCTTCCTGTGCCTTAGACGTACAGAAAAGCACAAAGTGGCACATGAACAGCGCGGACAAGCTGGCAACCTGGAGTAGCAACCGCCACTTTTTGCTAAAGGTGGTGAGAGTATTGGTTGCGGCGACAGGGGTACAGCTGTTGGCCCTCAGGACCAACTGTAATTTAGACGTGTGTGTGGCATAGGCATTTGATTCGGAGAAATCTTAAGCCAATTAACTAAAACCATGTGCCTTCATACTTGTCACAAAATGGCGAACTTATCTGTCTGCCTTGAAGTCTTGCAACAGTGACATGAGAACCAACGTCCATGATTACACAAGAGGCTGTACCGAGTTTAGGCTACGTCCGTAATGCGATATTATTTACAGCTATGATATTCACTAGATGATGAAAGATGGCTTAGTTATGAGAAACGTCCGATGTCTTTCAGATCCGCGCTGTGTATTTTATCAAATGACAATCCAGACGAAGTATCTGTTCAGCTCTGGTTTGCATCTCTCGTTAACACAACCTTATATAGCAAACCGGGTGTTCAGCTCCAATCCTCTCCTTGAGGTGACCAGTTCACCATTGGGACGGAGTTTAGGATCTAAAAACCCGTGGTCTAAACGGTGGATAAGCCCTTAGATTTAAGTCAACTTTATATTTACTCTCAAAAGATGATACCATAAATGAACCTTCGTAACTTAGTTGTCCTTTCAGGGAGAGGCCATCGTGGTGAAACCAGGTTTCTGGCCTCTGCTTAAACATGGGGAATTCCATTCAGAAGGCAGCGTATAAGATTTAACACCAGTGGAGCAGTTTGAACGCAACTTGCATAAAAATCATGCGTGCTTTCATAAATTTTTCTTTCAAATGGAATTTTTGGAAGTAATTTGACAGAATTTGTCTCTGTGTGTAACTATAGTGTAGCCTGCAATGAATATCATCATTCTCTAAACATAGTTTTCAGTTGCTGCTTCAGACTGAAGAACTTTGACTGTTAGGAGGCTTACATAATGTCTGATAGCGCCACTCGTGTTTTCCCGTTTTTAGATCTTTTCTGTCAGGATGACTTCAGCGGATCGCGAATTCATATCCAAACTCACTTAGCACAAGCGACGATTGGTAATCACCTTAGTGACGGTGATGCCAGTCTCCTGTATAATCTAACAAAAATCACCACTAAACAGTTTGCACTCCATAATAGACAGCTCCAGGTACTCACATTTGCAGGCCACCATTAACGAGAGATCCAGATAGAGTCAGCTGGGTCTCCTATCACAACCAAACTAGTATGCAAATGAGATTATTTGCGAAATTCTGTCCAGTGAAAGTTCAAGTAGAACGTAGGGCTGACTAAATGGAAACTCGGAGACATTACCTAATTGAAGGAACCAAATAGGAAGGGCGAAACCGGTCGTGTGATGAAACTTTTTCAGAAACCTTATTGATAGTGTGTTAATTTTAGATAGTTACAGATTCCCGTCGCCAATATATTGTAACACCAGACTTGAGCTGTTTGCGGGCAGAAGGAAGATGCATCATATGGTTTGAGTTTTATCTTGTTCTCAGTTACTTTATCACCGGTGCCTTCATAGCATAGTCTTAGATGGCGGACTGCAGCAGATCTGCGGCCAAACGGAGTGCGGGTCAGTATTTTGTAGCATCTCGGATTTACCAGGAACAGTAAATAAGGTATACCAGGTTAATTTGTTTGGGACATTATTGCAGGCATCAAACCACCAATTTCTGCAAAGTATTGCGTATCCTTCAAGGCACACACTCGTGGCGATTGTAGGGAAATCAGGCTAAAGCACGGTATCGCTGAGTGAAATTCACTTATTGCTCTTCAAATGCACCTAGACACAGTATAGGACTTTGTACGTGGCCTTCTTCCAGTCAAATTGTCTGTCTTCTGATGTATGGGGGTTAGATGACTGAGTGGTTAGAGCTCGAATTTACTGACCGGAATGTCCGTGGTTCAAGCCCGACCTCAGCCTCTGCACTTCTGCTGTCTGTGCTTGGGCTTCCTTCGGGTGGCATGGCTGCTAGGCACTGAAAGGGATTACAAATGAAGGATTATCTATTTATCTTCTGATGCTGAGCCTGTTTTTTGGTGCGGTTCACTGGGGATGTTTGATCACCCCCCACCGATGGCGTCATTCCCCTAAAGGATGTCCACATGTTTTTATTTCATCGCTGTGGGAAAATGTGGTCATCCTGACCCTGATCGTCTGCTCCGAGATCAAGCAACCCTTTTCATCAATTCCCCTTCCTTTTTCACTTTTTAATACAGTGTTTCATATTTTTACGGCATTTATGTGTCACTGTTTATTGCCCACTTATTCCTGCCAATGGTAATTCCATCTCTTACAGCATACAAGATATCGCCCTGCAAATCGGCAAACGGTCCATAGATGTTAAGTACTAAACAACTCTTAAAAAATGACTCTAAGGTTTAAAGCAGTCATCCAGAGGGAAATGCGTCAGCAACAGCGAACTCCCAGTAGCCTTGGAAGTGTAAAATTAGGCCAAACAGCACACCAAAGTTCATGATTTGACCTCGAGTTGTTCAGAAGACATCGATGTGTCTGTCGGCTTATGTCTCTAACGTTGGAGGTCCAAAGTTGTTACGCTTCTGTTGGACCCTGTGGTCTTTTGTTGCATTTTCTCATAAGTCATGGGGTTTATTGTTCTTTTTAGGGTAAAACGCTAGACTGGAATACAAAAAGCCCTTCCTAAATAAGCAGATGCGGCTTCTCCAAAGACAGGAAATCTCAAAAAATATGAAAATATGTGTTTGCTGAGTTTTAGGATGTGTACTCATTTGAAGTCACCACATTGGTAGCCAGACGCAAAGACGATAGAGAAACAAATTCAAGCTGACCACTTTCCCGTATAGCTGATGACCAGTTTAGACAGCGCTGCGACTTTCTAATGCTCTGTTGTTTGGCTGTCACAGGAGACGACTAAATCTCTCGTTTGTGATATTCCTCGACTGATTGTGCTGCACAAAGGCCACGTCTTGTTTCAGCTGGTACAGTATTTGAGATATCCCATTATAGTTGTTCAATGAACAGACTTTGACACGGGTGGTCGATTGGATAGGATAGTGCACTACCATTTGGACAACCCGGACTCGCACTTCACATGGGCAACCTTAAATGGGACCCAGCTGACCAAACAAAGTTATCCTAGCTAACGAGTAGTAAAGCAACCAGTCCGTTAATCAGTCATTCAGTCAACTTATAAACTCAACCATCGGATTTCTCACCTACCTATCTATCCATCTATCTATCTATCTACCAACTTACCTACGTCTTCCTGTCTGCTTTTCTCTCTCTCCTCCTCTCTCTCTCTGTCCCTCCATCCTTCTCTTTCTCTCTCCACCTTTCCGTCTCTTCCAGGTCACCACATGACGTGGCTGCTTCTTAAGCGTGGTCGCATTGCCAAAATGACGAACATGAAGTTTACTTCTTCCCAAATCATAAGTTTTCTGCTGCTTACTTTCACGTGGTCTCAGCAGATCTGGGGCTAATGTACGAATCCACATATGGACTTGTGCGTGACCCCGCTGACACACCTTAGTTTCTAAATCACTTGCGGTTGCACTGAACCAAACATATGTAGAAGCGTTATTTGCTACCCGCGAACCAACACGTCCGACATCATGCCAACACCGATACTGTCACTGGGATAGTCAGCTGGAATCTGGCAGTTTGATCGGTGACTCCCTGATATCACGGGTAGTTTACGGCTTATATCAATGGAGCCAGTGTTGGAGCGACTGTTACCCAGTTCTTGCCACTGTGTTTATGCGTCAGCAGCCATTATTTGAAGAAATTCGTTTATCTTCATCAAGAAGTCAGAAACATGAAACCCTTTTAGTACCACCGTACTGCAAATAAATGGGGATAATCGTTTGACCAGATTTTCCTATCGGAATACCTTCGAAACAAACCGAGGGATTTACGAAAAAGCTACGCGTCACTTACCTTAACTCGGTGATGATTGTTTTTGAGTAAGGTATTCTTTATAGTTGAGGGGTTATCTAGGGTCCTTTGAACTTCAACGCCACTGTTCCGACTGTTTACCGGACTGTCTCGTAACAACGCACGTTTGACAAGATGGTTAACACCTTAAGGTTTGTCAGCATAGCTTATGTAAACACATCGTTAAGCATATTGCTGATCAGCTTGCGAACAAGCAAGTCACCATAAATATTGTTTGTCAGTGCAAGAGTAAACAAAGTCACTCACTTCGATGATCAGTGTCCTACCACCCTGTCAGTTCCTCTTTGACGGCATCATCTTCTGGAAGATCAAATTGGCTAAGCCAGTGTCACTTGGGAATTTAGTTGTTTATTTATGAATAACATTAGTTCCGGTTGGCGGAAATGCTCCCCTATTGAAGGGTTCTCGTTCTTTGTGGTAGGTTTTGTTCCCAGAAAGGATGGTAAAGCCTGGAAATGGTTTCCAGTTAGTGAGAGGACCACTTTTTGAACAATCCGTGTGACACGTTTAGCTGTGTGTGTGTGGGGGGGGACCTCCTAAGAGAGTTACCAACTTTTTTGAAAAGTTTGGTGATCATTAGTAGATTTATTATTGGGCAGCGTTTCGCTCTTGACACAAAAGCTTCGTCAGGCCAAGTGACTAGTTTACGAAATTGGTCGGGATTTAGGGCACAAAGTGACCCAAGTCAAGCTTAATCGGTGTTAGGTGTCGGCCAATGGATTTTGTGTGTTCAAGTGGGTCACCAAGTATTGAGCCGAGGGGGAAACCTACATGGATTTGTGTTCAACTTAGAGTCTAGTTCTTCCGGTCCGGCTCACGTAATGATGCGTCTTGTAAACCATGCCTACATGATTCTGTCAACAAAAGTTATTCGTGGAATCGAAGATTAAAGAATACATGACTGTTCAAAGGTTTTAGTAGAGTATAACTCATTTGGCAAAATCGTAGAATCGATCGGAATAGCTTACTGGATGACTGCAGAACTCAGCTCTGGGACACGTTCTTGGATGAGAGTTCCATCCGGCCAAGTAAGTTGCCAGAATAATCGGACAGCAAATCAAAGAGATTCCGGTAGACTAAATTACCATTGAATATGGGTCAAAAGTTCTTGTCGGTTAACTTTGCAAGAGGGCTATCAGTCTGAGTTAGCTGCCCTAAATAGTTGTTAATTCCATGAGTGGTTCAGCAAACCTATTCGACTACTAAGTTAGGTCGTGTCTGTCTTCATCTATCCATTTGTAATCACACCGTGTGGTTGGCAAAGCATGCTTAGTTCTACTTCAGGATTATAGAGAGCTTTTACCGAACCGAAAGCTATGTACGAATTTCAGTCCTGCTAATCAATTTCCAAGGCTAAAACTAAGATCATGGTTACTTTGCCCGCAGACTTCGTTGGACAGGGTTAAGATGGTCGTCGCACTTCACAATTGGTTGCGTACTAAATATCGGCATTATTCCTCTTAGATCAAAGTCCCAGGGGCTGAATTAACTGCCAAGTGGAACCGGTCACAGTTATTTCCTCATGATGGCTTCTTTCGAGTGACCTCGGACGGGCTGTAACAGTGTTTCTCTTCATCTATGGAATAGCGTGAAGTTTCTATGACAGTAGACGTTCCATGACAGACCGAATGGCATCGTACACAGGAGATTCAGCTGAGTTCCAGATGGGACCCCTGGATAACAACCAAATCGCGCAGTGTAGTACATCTGAGAGATAAGGATGTTCGGCGAACGCGTTTTCACCTTACAGGTGGTGTCTAAGGGTCAGTTTCTTGAAAAAAGCTATTTGGTCTGTCTGGTGCAGCACCGTGACTAATAGCTCGAGTTAGGGTGCATAGTAGGGATTTGAGGGTTGAAGAACCGAACCAGTAGAAGCCATCTCAATGTGGAATTCAGTGCATTTCTCGAGCAGTCAGAAGCAAGAAAAGTGATTCTGAGCAGCAGAGCGATTCGGTAATGTTTACGTCATCACGGATTAGTGCAAATGAGAAGAATAAGGGGGGGGGGACAAAAGTGCTCGACGATGTTTTTCAAAAGGTACTGTGGGCAGTGACCCACTGAAAGCTCCAATTCGAAGGGGTACGCACGTTCAGCAGAGCACAAAGCTCACCCTTCTGTTTCGCTATTCACGGAGGGGAGTGCTACAGAGAGAAGAAACGTCTTCAGGTTGGTCCACACAAATTTGAATATTAGGGGCTGGTTTAAACGGACATCGCAGTCAGTGATTAGGGACAGATTTTGAAGAACAGTGTAGTAATTCAAACCAGCATAGACTCCCCAGCTGGTCACGAAGAACCAAGGATCGTTGGAAATCCTCCTAGAAAAGGAAGGGCTGTTTACACGAAAGTGCACCACTAGTAAATATGGGGGGTATTGTCACGGACGGCCAGGAAGTATAGGGATAGAACGTGAGAGAAACTTGCGGTTGGTTTTCTGAAATATGCAGAACAACGAAGTAGACTGGAGAGGTAAATGCAATAATTTGATAGCATACAACTAAGAAGATAGCAAACAGTGATAATTAATCAGATCATTATGAAGGAGAATAGGAGGCGATTTCAGCGAAGGTGGAAATAAGTGTCTGTCCGTGGTTGATTTGTAGCCTGTTTGTTAATACTACCGGAGATGTGAGGGCATGAAAGTAGCTGGATAGCAAAATTGCACCAGTGTTTTCCGCATCCATCTGTTAGAGGAATTGTCAGAACGGGCAGAAGCCAACCACTTAAACTACTTCCCTAATTTATGAGCAGCTTCCACACAACCCGCTCTACTGGAGTAATGGAGGCAACAGGAGTGCAATGCGTCCTAGCTACGCTCCCTGCAGCATTACGCCTACCAGCCAGATGAGGAGTTCATCTCCGCATTTGCTACTTACCTGAAAGAAAACGGATCAGGATCACGGCCGCAGCACAAGCTGAGAAATCATTTATCGAGAAGTTTATCTCTTCGGAGGAACGCAAGCACAAGGAACTCTCCGGTGCACCAAGTAAGCGAGCAGCGGCGAGCTAAGGCAAATCAGGAGGAAGTTATGGCAAATAGCAGAAACAAAATTGCCACTCGAGGAACCAGCCGAAATGTGCGCTTGAGTCCGCAGAAACTTCAATGATGAGGGGCTGTGGAGCATAGTCGAATTCAAGGTATGTAACTCTTTTACTCGGTTTTGCTCTATTGACCGGTTCACAGGTCTTCCCTCGCTCCAACTGCTACTGACCCGGAAAGTGCGAGAACTATACAAAAGTTGTTGAACTGAGCATATGTAACCTTGAAGAACGGAGTTTATAAAAAATTTCAAAATTTCATTCTTTTTCAAAGCGAGTGAGACTATTTGGAAACTTACGTTTGTCTTTCCTTGGCTAGGTTTGGAGACGCAGGAAAGTACTTGATGGGGTGCACGCCAAGCCTTCAATTTGCTTTGTTTTCCCCACCTAACTTTAGTGTCAATTTCACAAACCTGAATTGCACGGGTACATCAGCAGGAGTGATGAACATCTGATACCCAAATTTTAGAGACGTACCTGGAGGGTCGAACTTACCAATTTAGATGCCTACAACCCACACTGTCCAAGAAATCAGAAGAGGCAAGAAAGAAGACCAACCAAAATGCGATGGAAATGGGATGGTAGATGGGACTACCGGACCCATTATTACGGTGATCAAGACGATTTACGCCTCAACAGGCTTGTAACTGTAGATATAAGAGCTTCCGTAACTTTTTTTACTTTAGGAGTGATGCAAAACTAATGTAAAAAATTTCCTTCCGTTCTTAATCCATCAGCATCAGTTGGACCGAAAGTTCACATGTCTGGATAGCGACGGATGGAAGCCTAAGCTCTTCCGATAGGTCTCCAATGTAGAGTAAAAATTCACGACAGCCACTGACAAAACGAATATAGCGAACAAATATAGTGTTGCTCCAACCACGGTAAGTCCGAAATATCGCACAAAGAATGGTGGAATAAGATATTACAATCCGATGTTTCGGGTGCCGCGGGCAAACTTCCTCGAAAATTTCCATAGTATAGACCGTGTGGCACTCAACCCGTTCAATAAGAACCGAGCCAAGTTTTGCTGGGAGTCCTAATGGCTCAAAGAACGTAAGAGTAGTAGACAGGCTAGTCGTGTTGCAGAAAATATTGACAGAGTTCAGAAACCGAATTGGTGGGGTGAATTCAATTGTAGCCGAGGAGAACAAGTCACGGAGGCAGTTTGTAGCATTGCCCTTTAACTAAACTAGACCGGGTCATGTAATTCTGTCAAGCTCCCAGGTAAACCTAGTTCGGCTTCCTTGGAAGGAATTTTTCGCATGGGTTGCGGATTGAATCATGAGCAGAGAATTGTTGCAGCTTTTTAGGTATTCTAGCTAGTGGATGCTTTTGGTAACTGTGCTTGTTTTGGGCTGAGAGCTCCTTTGGTTTCAGGCCTATACCTCGAAGTGGTTGCATCATGAACGGGGAAAGTAAGATGGTATTTCTGGAACGTGCCGTATTTCTGTCTGCGTAGAACTTCACTGCATGGTCCCGAAAATATTTGAATTTTTAAAATGCATGTCCCAGTCAACAACACGTAAGAATCGCATGTTGTTTGAGCTTATTGACCACCGAGGATCACCACGTTCATTAACGGAGTGACTTTCAACTGATTCGTTTACGTTGGGCCAATTATTTTCAAATATACTGCACTGTATGTTGTGCATCGTCGGATATCCAAAGTTGGTGAGCAATTTTATGAATAACCGATTCGTCTGAAAACATCTATTCGGCTAGTCAAGGTACGTTTTGATGATAACATTTCCATTGTTTTTGAAAAATTTTGTTGAGCTTACTTTGCCGTCAGCATTGTGCCGCAAGGATGCCTGAAACCCTCGGTTGACCGCAGGACACAGACCACTGGGTTTAGCCGTGAATCAGAATTCGCCAATGTTGCGCCGACTTTCAGTTAGTAGTGAATTGTGTCGGATAAACGTGCTACCAGACAAAGTCTCCATTATCTGGACCCGGACGGTACCGAGTCACGCGTAGACTGTTGGTCCGGGACGAATCAAAACAAATTTGCATCCGAAATTTACAGTACTGTGAAGGGGACGTGTTAAATGCATTGATACAAAGCTGGAGTTTGTCTGTTTGTCCCTGCGCACCTCGTGCGCTACGATTTACTGGTATGTTTGCATAACATTTATTCATTTTCCTCATGCCTCCAAAGTTTAGCTTATAAAAGAAGCGAAAAAACAAAGCCAGGAAATACTTGGCATACTTTAGCGTATGGTGGCAGCGGGAACACTGTTTCATATGAACAGGATTGGATTCTTCCGGAACCTAAGATAGGAGTTAACTCCAGCAAACTGTTATAAACGTTAACCATGTTTAAACTTTCATTGATATAATAAATAAATCGAGTGAACTGGACAACTGGCGACTCCTATAAGACACTAAAGTGGGACCGTTCCAACGAAATTTTGTACTGTGCATAGGCTGATTTCCTTACTGATACTATATTGAATAACCCGGGACACATCTATTAGCGATTGTGCTCACATATGCTTTGAACAATTTTTCAACTGTTACGCAATGTCGTAACGGAAATCTGGCGTCCGGTGTTGCTGAAAAAATGGATTTGCTACTGTCTCCTTTCACTGGATGGCAATAAAAACAGCCCTCAAGTGGAAGGTGTGCAGGTCGAACAAACTCTCCCGTGCGATGGTATACATAAAAACCAACAAATGGAGTTGTGCTTACCGTGGCCGGGGGAAAAGAATAACAAAAGAACCATGCTGCTACAACAACAGCTCGGTGCCAAGCTGCCATGTCACTCAAAGAAGGAAGGACTACTGTAATACTACCAAATTGCCCAAGTCTAGGCAAGAGCAACTGGAATGCCATGCTTGGATTTAAAACACGAACCTTCGCTCCCCAACCACTGAGCTATCTCAAGCTCAGTGATCCAGTGACCGAAGACGAATCAGCAGGAGAAAACAAGTAGAACGATCAGATATTTATATTAAGAACATGAGGGGTTAGAGTTAACTTTTCCAGTTGAAAAATCAAAATTGGTCTTCAACAGCTTTCGAGTCGTTGGTAGAAAGATCCGCCGGGTAGAACTAAGGGTCAGAATTTCTTTTTTCCACCGATGTTGTGTGGACCATGAAGATAAGCTCAGGATGGAAACATGAGAATTAAGAATAAACGTCTGGATAGAATTTCTTATTCTAACATTCTTAATAGAACGTGTTAGATCTAAGTAAGTTGAAAACATTTCATTTCACATGTATATCGGCTT